ACTTCTATGTATATGAATATACCTACCTAGTTTAGTTAGACAATTGTGATAACAATGACATTAAAAAGAATTGTGCCCGGTACGACAGCCTGGCCTTGGGGGCATCAATAAACCGTTTTCTCAAGGTTGCGTGCGCATCCAAATTTGAKGGACTTGACGGGCCACGATACCAGAACACGAGCTTTATGATGAGTATTATCATGCATTGCTATGAATTTTTTTTCGATAAGAATTCATAAAATTGATTACTCTCCTCTTTTAATATTAAACTGGCTTCAACAATTTACAGGATTTGCGTTTTTCAGTTTTGTGGCTAGTCAAGTTGGATGCGCAAGCAACCTTGAGAAACTATCTATTACTAACAAACACTCATGTTCGTAAACTGTGTGGCTGCGATTTGCGCCATGATAGAAATCCGTCAAGTCCCCCGAAAATAATCATTGTAAAGCGCGTTGAATTTATTAATGCGTTGCATGAGAATGGCCATCCTTATTATTATAAAATGAAAAGGAAAAAAAAAAAGGAAAAAAAAAAAGGTTGGAGGTTGGAGAAAAAGAACAAGAACAAGAAAATAACACGAACAAGAGGAGCGAGGGAAAAAAAGAAAGAGTAGAAAAAGGAGGAAGAAGGATTAAAATAAAAATAAAAACAAAAAGAAACAAGAACGAGAACAAGAGGAGCGAGGACCGTAAAGGAAGAATAGCCAAAAAGGAAAAGGAGAAGAACAAAAACAAAAACAAAGAAAAAAGAAAAAGAAAAACGAAGGGAAAAGATAAAAACGCGGTGCAGGTAAGTCAAAAATAGAGAGTTTTAGACTTACGTTCACGGCAAACGTGAAACGTCAGCTGACCATTGAACAAAAAAATATTTTAAATATCTTWAAAAAATTGCAAAAAAGTCCAAKTAATAGACAAACAAAAGAATATTTTTCTTTGTTGAGAAGGTTTGCAAAAGGTAAAGCAAAATACAGGAAAAMGATAAAAACGTGGTCACGTTTGTCGTTTGCGAGGAGAAAAAAAAGTCTATCTAAAACTCTGATATCACATAGACATCTGAAAACTTATTGATACTGCATAAAAGTGTATTATAATTATAACCTAAGGTACCAGAGGAAAATGAGCGGTCAAACGTTATTAAACTCGTACTTTTAAAAAYAGATGTGATTTGAATAAGAAAAGATCAACGTAGTTGAAATCTGTGTTTGATTAGCGTCTCAGAAACAAATTCTTTAGCCATKTCATGAGATTAGTTAGTGTGTTATAAAAAAGACCTCTAGTACCTTAAGGACGTTCGCGGGCAAATGAGAAGCAATTGCCTATTTTTTGAAATTTTCCCAGTTGATAAAACTACATAAAACACACAAAATACGCCCCAAAATAGGGGGTCGCCGTGCAATTCTGCAAGCAAAATAACTAAGATGTCGAAAATATTRGCACCTATCGTCCATCACAACATTGGAATGCCGTCATCACGATGAGCGCGCGAGAGCGCRCTATTTCGATGCGTAGAAAGGATGYGTGCGAAAAATGCCCGCGAACGTTTTCGAGAAGGACATAATAAAGATRAAAGCACACTTACCTCTGGCCTTAAGGTGACCCTTCCTTATGGCCAGATGTTGGCGAGCCTTGAATCTCAAGATCTCGCGTTCTGCCTTCTCGATGGAAGCCTTTTGAATAAAAATGAAAAAAGAAAGCTTTTAATTTTAAYCTACTGCCATAATGTGAGAACCTAACCTTATCCTCATTTCCAACCATTTCGTTCCACCATTGATTTGTGTCATAGAATATAGACTAACTACCCCTCCCCTACTACTATTAT